GGTCACAAGTCTTCGAGCGACATGATCCCTTCCATATACCATAAATCATTTCTAATTCAACTTTACTTTAATATGGAACAAACTAGTCGTACCATAACCATAAGTCATCCAACATTTATGTATATACTATAAAATTAAATATCCATAATGATGATATTATATGTGAAGAATCAAGCATCTTTAATTGAATTCAATAAGTGTCAAAACCATTAATTGAGCAATTTCATTCAGTACTAGTCAGTACAACAAGGCCCCTTCGTTATTCCCACTTTTCTTTATATGCCTTGTAAATGCTATAGGGAATAACCCTTTAATGGATCCGCTTTCATGCAACTAGTACTAAAATGCTCAAATGACACTTTATTTCTTCACTTCTACTTTTATGACCAAGTATTTCAATTTTATGTGATTCACACCCTTTGAATACTTGTGATTCCTTGAAATATTATTACTATAAAACCACAATAATTTCTTAGCGCCTTGGAAAAAGTGTCGACATTTCCAAGTCCTAAGATAAAGTTTTGTAGCCATAAATTTTGAATTGTGGCCTCAAAGCACACCACAACCTCAAACTTAATCGTGGAAGTCGCGATGATGGACTTTGTTCCACTTCTCCATAATCTTGCTCCTTTAGACATTATGAGCAAAAGTCTGAATCCGAGTATCCAATTATAACAAATAATTTGGATCTTCTTTGAGTTAGCATGTCTTCTTTAATGCCTTGTAAATATCTTAGAAATTTCATTGTAGCATTTAAATAATCATTTAGGGATTACTTTTATGTTTGCTTTATGTACCAGCAAACAATATGTTATCAAACCTAGTACAGGTTTGTCTCACTTAAGACTCCTAATCATTTATATCTAAGGAATTTTCTCCATCACTTTTCTTTCCATTTCACCTTCGCGCATATCCCTTCGCACTTTCTGGGGTAGAAAAAGTTAAAGTGCGAAGGCATTGCGCGATGAATATGCGACAGTTATGCACTTGATATGCGATAGTTATGCAGTCATTCGCATAACCTTCGCACTTTCCGGGGTGAAAAAGTTAGATTGTTAGTGGGCGGTGTGAAAAATTTAATGTATCTTTGTATTGGGGTGAAAAAAAAATTTTCCCTTGTGAAAATAGTTATTTTCACCCATTTTGAAGTTCTGCTAAGTTTTTCACACTGTCCAATAAAAAGCTAAGTTTTTCACCCCAGAAAATGCGAAAGACATTGTGTGATGAATATGCGATAGTTGCACGATGACATTGTGCGAAAGTTAGAAGTGCAAAGGCATTCGCATATCCCTTCGCACTTTCTGGGCTGGAAAAAGGTAAAGTGAAAAGGCATTGTGCGATGAATATGCGATAGTTGCGCGATGACATTGTGCGAAAGTTAGAAGTGCGAAGGCATTCGCATATCCCTTCGCACTTTCTAGGGTAGAAAAAGTTAAAATGTGAAGGCATTGCGCAATGAATATGCGACAGTTATGCACTTGATATGCGATAGTTATGTAGTCATTCCCATAACCTTCGCACTTTCTGGGGTGAAAAAGTTAGATTGTTAGTGGGCGGTGTGAAAAACTTAATGTATCTTTGTATTGGGGTGAAAAAGATTTTTTCCCTATTTCAAATCTCAAGAAACTTTGGAAATGGACTAGGACATTATCCTCTTTCATTGAACTTACTATAATATTCACCAATCTAGGAAGATCTCGCAATTTTTACTTATTTGTCTAACTATGTTTCCATCTCATCATTCTATATCTTTGGATAGTCAATGAATGATTCATTTCACGTAGTATATAAATATAATCATAACGTGAGAAATCTTTTATAATGGTGATTAAATATTTTGCATCACCCCATGAAGGGATGTTGAATAGGCCACAAAAAAATTAGTGTACATAAGTTATAAGATTTTAGTGCTTCTATCGGCAGATCTCTTTAATATATGTCTAGTTTGGTTTTCTTTAATTCATTTTATATACACATCTTGATCACTAAAACCTAAATGAGAAAAATGGTTTCATTGTTCACAATTCTCAACACTTTTCTTTGGATCTACACCATAATCTTTGATGCCATAAGAGAATAGAATTTTTGTTATGTGCACTACGTTTAACCCATAAATATGAGATACATAAGTAGTTGCACAGAATCAAGCCACCAAGTATCATTAGGAATCTTTAATAAATCTAATTCACAGCATACGAAATATCTTTCTTTTCGAATTAACATTTTATTTCGGGCAATCTTTCTTGAGGTGACCTAACTTTGTACACAAAAGTACACCTCATTTCTTTAATGATTGGACCTGCAAAAAACTTTAAGTAAGCCAATCTCTTTTTATTTGCCTTTGTTTCCTATTTTATCTTACCATTATTGGCTCCCACATGAGATATAAAATGAATCGACTCTTCTTTCATCTCATTTATTCCCTCCTCTTCATGCACCAGAATAGCCTTAACTTCCTTACAGTCCCATTTATATTTAATGGTGTTATAGTTCACCTAGGATTGGCTAAACTTGACAGATAGGGAGTTCATGATGAATAAAACCATAAATTAGTCTATCACATTCATTCTCATGTTTGCATGTTTAGATGATATGTTGTACATGTGGGTCACGAGATTATGGATGAAACAGAATCAGTCGAACTTTTATAGTGGTGAGCACGTTCATGAAACTTCCCACAATAGACTTCTCCCGCAATTTTAAATGGAAATAATCCTTGATTTTTATTTAGGAATTCTTTTACATTATCAGCCTTAATGTTATCCGTCATGATTAACTTCATAACATTCAAACACAACTTATTTGATCGCTCACATGCCCTACGAAGAGTTACCTCTACTTCGGAACTCTCATCAGTAATGGTTGTGGGAGCTTCATCAGTAATTACCCAAATTCATTGCATCTAACTGAAAATGGATATGCTTAGACCATTCACTGAAGTTCAGCCAATTGAATTTTTCAACTATAATATTGTACGGATAACCAAATTTTGAATGTTGCAAACTTTAATACATGCTATTGGGTTAAGCTTTGAGAGACAATTAACGAATTCAGAAATCTTTTAAATTATATATTTAAATATCCATTTGGGCAATACTTAAATATATAATATATTTGATTGATCTCTAAGAGAAAACATATTTAATAGAAATTATAGGTCTTGTGATTAATTAGCGGTTATCTTTGGACAAACACACCAATTAACCTAACTTTAAATATAATTTCTCTTTTATATATTAATCCTTAATAGAAATTATACAAGCTTGAGTCAACTAGCGGCTATCTTTGGACAAACACGCTAATTAACATCACTTTAAGTATAACTTCTCTTTTAAATATTAGTCTTTAATAGAGATTATATAATTTTGACATCAATTAGAGGTTATCTTTGGACAAACACACTAATTTGACTTAACTTTAATTATAATTTCTCTTTTAATTGTCATAATTATAAACACATGCCCCACCTTTAGGTGTCCTCCTCGTTTATAATCCATGACATCAATTATTGAAATATATAATTTGATAGACATTATAAGGCATCTTTTTATATTTGAATAATCGATACTTTCATCTAATTTAATTATCGATTCTATAAATTGAACTAGGCCACTTTGGTGACTAACTACTTTCTTTACATAAATAATATAATTAGAAAATAATTATTTAATGCGTATATTATGAGATTATCAAAACTATAACATATCTCGATCAACATAGACTTACGGCCAAAATATGCATTCACACGCAGTTTACACAAAACTAAGGCCAATACGTAGTAATTACAATCCATTATGATTGTTAAATTATGACAAAGCCACATGGAAATTTACGCGGCAATCAAGACAAATTTGTCAATCAAACTAAGTCTTTCTTTTTTCCAACCATAAACAAGCCATAAGATTAAACTCAAAGCAACTGTTCATACAACGATTGCTCAAATGAGCATAAGCAAGCTATTAACCCACACAAATGGACCAACATCAAGCATGAGACACCCATATCAGGTGCTCTTACAAGCCTCTAGGGCTAACAACAAAGAAGAACTACACGCAAATCTATCACAATAAAATCTACAATCATAAAACCTACTAGCAAACATATAGATGTCATTAACAATGGTCTGAACTTTCCAAGAAGTGTCAGTTCTCAGGCTCAGCAGTTGGGCAACCTGAAGAGAGTCTACCCTGCAGCACACAGAAAGGCTCTGATCATGTTCTTGAAGTTTGCATAGTCCCCATCTCACTGCCTTAAGTGTTGCTTCCTCAATGTCCTCAGCCTTTTCACTGCACCCTAGCCATCTGAACATCTCCTTCCCTTCAAATTTCACCAGACCACCAAAACCAACAGAACCCTCTGGAAGTAGACAAGCACTGACAGTTAGGATTAACTGCCCTACCTCTCTTCCAGCTCCCTCCCTCTCAGTTTCCACATCCACTGCAATATTCTGGTTATTAGACACAACCCCTACTGCAATATCCTCAAAATCCCTCCACTCCCTCCAAGCTCCATCCACAATATCCTTCTCTGTCATTCTTCTATTCTCAAACACCCAAGTGTTTCTTGTTCTCCACAACCACCATAGTAGGTAAGTTGAGAGGTTAGCTCTATCCTGAAACTATTTATCCTTTTTTCCACAGCAAATCTCCTCCCCCAGTCTTCAAAGACTATCATTGGTTTATCAAGATCCAATAAATCCCACTCATTCTCCAGCAGTTTACAACTCTTGGACATTTGAATAATATATGCTCCAAGTTTTCAATATCTTCCCCACAAAATTTACAGATGCAGTCAATCTGGATTTTTATGAAACAATTGAGTATTAGTACTCAAGAAACCATACCAGCATCTCCAAAGGAAGTTTTTTATCTTGTTCTTCACTGGTAGCTTCCATGTGTTCCTCCAAATAGTTTGCATCTGTTGGTTTCATGTGCTAGAGCTTGCTCTCTGCTGACTTTGCATGTGTTGTTCCAGTAGCAGTCTGTACACTTCCTTCACCCTCAATAACCCTTTAGGGTGCCAGTGCCAAACCAGTTTGTCATAATTCCCAGCATGGCTGATAGAAATGTTCAGGATGAAGTAAGAATGTTTGCCTCACTTTATCTTCATCCCACTCAGCATTGTTGCTCTTGAACAGGTCACACACCTTTTGAATTCTCACCTCATCACCTGCAAATTGTAACTTGGGACAAAAGTTTTTATTCTGAGGTAGCCATGGGGACTGCCACACATCAATCAATTTCCCATTTGCCACCTGATATCTTACTCCAAGTTTAAGTGATTTCCTGGCTTGAAGCCAACTCTTCCAGAGCCAAGAGTCAGTGTTTTTAGCTGAAACATCAAAGATTTTTTTTATTCCAGAAGTACTTACCCTTCAAAACCCTACTCACCAAAAGATTTGGATTAGTAATGATTCTCCATAACTGTTTAGTTAACAGAGTTTCATTAAAAACCTTAAAGTTTCTAAAACCCATACCCCCACACTCTTTAGGTTGAGACAAAACATCCCACCCACACCAATGTATTTTGCTTTTACCACTCTCAGAAGAAGCAGAACCCCACCAAAATTTGGCAATTTCTCTTCAAATATTATGGTAAACAGAAATAAAGAGTCTATAGCAGGACATCACATAGGTTGGGAGGGCCTCTAATACATATTTAATCAAGGTTTCTCTCCCTGCTTCACTCAAGAAACAATTCTTCCAACTATTCACTCTACTCATAACATATTCTGTAACATATTTGAATGTTTCCTTCTTGGATTTTTCTATACCTAGGGGAAGGCCCAGGTATTTGGAAGTTTTCACTTTCGAGATCCCATGCAGCACATGACAGATATCATTTTGTAATTGTTCAGGAGCATTTTTGGAAAAAAAGATAGATGATTTTTCAAGATTAACCAACTGACCTGAAAACTGAGCAAAATCCCATATGATTAAGAATTTTAGCAAGGAAATTCCACTCAACACGGTCATAGGCCTTGGCCATATCAAGTTTAATAGCCATAAATTTATCTTTGCCAGACCTTTTGCTATTTAAGAAATGGATACACTCATTGGCAATTGCCACATTATCTATAATTTGTCTACCAAGAATAAAGGCAGACTGAGCTTTATCAATACAGCAATGCAACACATTTTTTAGCCTATTAGCAAAGATCTTAGCAATGACTCTATATATCACAGTGCATAAACTGATAGGCCTGTAGTCAGAAACAAATTGGGGGTTTTTCTTTTTGGGGATTAGGGTTAACACTGTATGATTTGGGGGAATTCTACCTTTGAGGAAAAAGTTTTTAACAGCAGCACACAACTTAGTTTTAATGGAAGGCCAAGAATTTTGAAAGAAAGCAGGGGACATTCCATCAAAACCAGGAGCCTTGTGTGGATCCATATCCCATAAAGCAGCCTTAATCTCACTATCAGACACCACCCTAATCAAATCAGTGTTCATCTCCTCAGTGATAGACAAAGGAATACCAGCCAAATTACAATTATCCACTAGAGGATTGGAAGATTTAAATAGATTGGCAAAGTATGAACTCAGCTCCTCCACTATCTCAATATCATTAGCACATCAACTCCCATCTCCCCTCACTAGGCTATGCAGACTATTCAAATTCCTCCTCTGCCTCACACTAGCCTGGAAGTATCTAGAGTTTCTATCCCCATCCTTCAGCCAACTAACCCTAGCTTTCTGATGCCAAAAATCCCCTTCTAGCTTGTAAGCCATATGCAACTTATCCCTATAAAACTCCCACTGACCCCAATTCCTATCCCCACCCAAAGATTCCAATCTCTCCAACTCAGTCTTACAGATACTTATGATTTTTCCAGAGTTAAACTCCTTCTTATCCTTCCACTGCAGCAAAGCCTTTCTCACATTCCTTATTTTACCCCCCAAGCTAAACAAAGCAGGCCCTTCCACAGGCTTAATCCAAGCCTCTTTAACCACATCAGAGAATCCCTCCACCTTAGCCCATCTAATATCATAGTAAAATCTTTTTCTGAAGCCTGAAGAGGTATAACAAGATTCCAAAACAAGCATATTGTGGTCAGAGGATGCCATAGAAACACTATTAACTCTAGAGTTAGGATTGTTCAATAACCACCTAGGGGAAACAAAAAATCTGTCCAGCTTAACTTCTATGAAATCACTACTCTTTCTAAGATTAGACCAAGTAAACTTAGGACCAACCATAAGAGGTTGAACACCCCTCAGACAGTTGACAAAATCCCTAAAACTTCTGAAACTACTCTCATCCCTAGAAATACCCCCATGTTTCTCCTGGTTAGTGAGAATATCATTCAGATCACCACCCAAGAACCAGGAATCACCCAACCTCAGCCTATAATTAAGCAAGGCTGACCACTCATGCTGTTTAATGCCATAATTAGAAGCAGCATAGATGAAGATACCCCATTGACTCCCCTCAGTCCCCTCCAGAACAAAATGAACTTCAAACCTAAAATCCAAACAATTAAACTCCGGAATCTCCACCCTCTGAGACCAACAGAGGAACAAACCTCCACTTGTCCCACAAGGTTTAGAATAGGACCACCTATCACCTAACTTAATTTTCCTACAAACAGCAAAAACAAATTTTTCTTTTTTTTTTTAACTTCTGAAAGAAACATAAAATCTGGGGAGTTAACCCTTAGGGACTCTTTAAACTGGGAGATTGTAGAGGGTCCCCCTAAACCTCTACAATTCCACACACATACCTTCATTGGAAACCTCGGGACTAGTTAGGGCTGGTTTTCTTCACCACTTTTTCAGAATCAAGAGGGGTCATTTTTTATTTTTTGCTAACCTTGGACTCAGCTATCTCAACCTGCTGAGCATTACCTTCCCTAATTTGCAAGTGTCTTTTAGATTTAAAGATAGTAGAAGGTAATTTCTCAGTTTTTTCAAGAACAGCATCCAAAACCATAGTTTCAACAACAGGTTGTTTCCCCAATTTTGTTTTCCTTTTAAAAGTATGTTTTCTTTCACTCACACTAGCCCCTGTGGGTCCGTGTTGAATATCCACATCAACAAGCTGAGATTGAATAATTTTAGCCTCTTCAGGGATAGTTTCCAGAGATTGGAAACTATTAGAGTTTTTCCCTCCTGCATAGCCTAAACTACTCTCATCCATGGAACTGCCAACCCTATCAAGATTTTGCCCATTTGGTTTTTCAACATTGATAAGAGCCAAAGCCTTCTCATTATATTTTTCCCCTGTCCCACTACCTTCTTGAACCTCAGCTTCATTCCTGTCAGATCTTCTATCTGAAGATCTATTATCAGGGTTAGGCCCACTCTGATATTTAAATCCCCCAATGTTTAAAGGACTAACCCTTAACCATTCCCCAAACTGCCTTAGTTTAACATTGTTTCTAAGGACATCCTCTTTTTTAGATGCACAGTTTTTATCACTTTGACCCAATCTACCACAATAAAGACAAAAGCTTTGGAGGCTTTCATACCTGAAGTCCACCCACGTACTCTCATTGCCCAGCTTAATCTTACTGCCTCTCAATATTGGTCCTTTCAGTTGCATCTCCACCAACACGTTCACAATATTTCCTTGATGGCTATTAGCTCCTGGCACTTGGACATCAAGAGGTTTTCCCAGTAATCGCCCAATTTTCATCCCTGTCTCGGCACTGATCCAATGTAGGGGCATATTGTGGATTTGCACCCAAATTTTGATGTGCTCGTTAGTTTCTTTGAACACAGTATCCTCCGGTGACCACTTTTTAAGCAAAATATATTGCCCATCAAAACTCCATGTCTTGCCATTGAGTATTTTATCTCTGTCTTCTTCGCTTTGGAACAGGAACTGGAAAACATTGTCTCCCAGGCTTTTGATAGTAAATGGCTGCTTCGTTATCCATATGGACCCTAATGTTGTCTTGAGTCCATGGAAATTTGCCTTTTTCTCACCATAAACTTTACCTAGAAGACTCAGCTTGCACTCGCTCACCGTCGGAGCTACATCTTCAGCTACTAATTCAATCCCCTCTTCCTCTCTTTTAGATAGAGCAAATTCGGTGAATTGGTCTGCAAGATCTTGTTCCATACTTCCCGCCGCAATAGGACCCAGTAATGGACTCCAAATCCTCGAAACCCCAAAACCCTAAAAAAGCCCCAAACCTAAAACCTAACCCTATTCTATGCTGCCACTACTAGATCCACACTAACTCCTGATTAATCAGGTGGGTAGGGAAAACGCATACCAAAGGGGAACAGACAAGGTACAAATGATCAACATAGCATAGATCTGGCAAATTCATAAATGACTTAAAGACTCAATAGACTACGACCACAACCATGATGAACAGAGAGAAAAAAAAAAGCAGATAACAAGCAAAAAAGAATAACCTAGCGATCAAGAGATACGAAGACAATAAAAAGCAAACGAGGAGCAAAGGGAAAGCTAGCAAAGATCCAACTCGTGGAACAAGTCTCTAGAAAGAGAAAAATTTCCAAGAAAGAAACTCGGTTAGCTTAAAATTCCAATTAAACTAAGTCATGATCATTTATTTCATTCGAATTTGTTTTAGCAACAATCAATTGGCAAAGCAAAAAATTCCAATCTTCATATTGATTGGATTCCAAATAATGATAAAAAACAAAAACAAGAACCCCATTATCATGTTCTGTACAACTAAGAAATTTTCACTAAGAATTGCATGTGCAACAATTATTTTAGACGCAGTGATTAATAACAATTCAGGGCATTAATTCGTATTCTTAATTCACATCACTGGACGTGACTAAACTGTAATCCGGCTCGAGTCTCCTATAAATGGAACAAGATCTAACCAATAAACTCCAGAAATTTAAACTTTCAGAACGCAAAGACGGTGGGATCACAACTAAAGAGGAAGACATACATTTGGGAAAACAAGAATGTGAACTCAGCCTGCTGGGAAAGATCTATGGTGAAAAAAAGCAAACTTTGGGGGCCTAAGGAATATCCTGCAGAACATCTGGTATACGCAACGGCCAATTCAAGTTCGAAACCTCGGACAGAATAAATTCCAATTTGTCTTTCAATCAGAGGAAGACAAGAAGAAAATCCTTGAAGGTAAAACATGGTCATTCGATGGCCAGTACCTGCTACTAAAGGAGTGGAAACCCAATTCAAATGAGTTCACTGAGGAGGATGATAAGATCCAAATCTGGGTACAGATTATGAACCTGCCGCTACACTGAGTGTCTGAGGAGATTGGAATCAAAATAGGGAAACTATTTGAGAAGGTTGTTGATGTCAGAGTACCTGATATGGGAGGGATTGGAGGAAGGTTAGTAAAGATTCTTGTGGAAATGGACCTGAAAGGACCTATCATACGAGGAACACGCATCACCCTTGGATCAGAGACTAACTGGGTTAGTTTCAGGTATGAAAATCTTCAGACCTTCTGCTATTATTGTGGTCCGATTGGACATGCGGATAAGAGTTGTGAGAAAAAGAAAATGGATGTGAGAAGCTCGAATCTAAACAATGGACAATTTGGGGAATGGTTGAGGGCCACACCAGGGGGTGGGGTAGGGTTGAGAGGGGTAAGTTTAGGGGATAAGCTAAGCCAAAAATCTGGGTCTGGGATGGGGGATGAAGAGAAAAAAGAGTCAAACTCACAAGGGGAGAAGGGTGAGGGTAGCTTGGATAAAGATAAAGAGAGTGGGTTGGTAGCTGATAGGAGGGGAGAACCAGAGAGAAATGTGAAAATCAATGAGAGTGGGGGGCAATCTGTTAATCTCAGTTTAGGAGCAGGCTTATTGCCTCATATTCAGGGAGTAGTGGAAACAGATGTTGAGATTTTGATTAAACCCCAAGGGGAGAATAATAAGGGTCATTCTAACCCTATGTGTCTTGATAATCTAGTGTCTATACCTGTCCAAACAGTTTCTAATAGAATTCTGCAGGGCCTTCAAAACAAAATGGTAAGAAGACAGGGCTTAAAAAACCTAAGTTAATAGATGCTAGAAAGGCTAAAAGAGGGGCAGATCATACTCAGAATTCTGCTAGTAACTAAGGCTCATTGGAAAGNAAGAAAACCAGAGGAAGAGGGAACTGAGAATGTGATAGATAGTGGAGAGGTTAAAAAAGCTAGAACTTATGTGTCATGGGATATTCCTCAGTGTCAGGCTGAGTTCATGGTGAAGGTGACCATCCACAAATGGTCCCCCCTAGTCCAAATGAAGGTGTGTGTGTGGAATTGTAGAGGTCTGGGAGGGTCCTCTACAATTTCCCAACTCAAGGTGATTCTAAAATCTCATGTCCCATTTTGTGTTTCTATCAGAAACATAAAAAAAAAAAAAAAGCTTTATTAATATTGTGTGTAGGAAGCTTAAGTTAGAAGATAGGTGGATCACTTTGGAGCTTGTTGGTCTCCAAGGGGGTCTTTTTTTTGTATTGGTCTAAGGATATTAAAATTATAGGTCTAGTGTGTGATAACTTTTGTATAGAAGTCTGCTTTGAATTGGTTGGTTCCACTTTGAGGTTTTGGGGTGTGTTTGTTTATGCTAGCACTGACTCTCAAATCAAAGCTAGACAATAAGAAGTCCTAGTGAGACATAGCCTTATGTGGGGGGATTGTTGGTTTGTGGGTGGGGACTTTAATGACATTGTTGAGAGTGGGGAGAAAAGGGGCGGGAGATGTAGGAATGCAGGGAGTTTTCAGGATTTCAGATATTTCATCAGAACTCTTCAACTAATTGATGCTAGGTTCATAGGTTATCCCTATACATGGGCCAATAACAGACAAAGGGAGGGGTATGTTGAAGAAATATTAGATAGGATTTTGTTTTCTCTTGTGTGGGCCCAAGACATTCCCTAGTCCACTGTTTTACATGTGCATCTCATATCCTCTGACCACTATCTTTTGCTGTTAAATACTGATCCTGAGAAAAAGTGCTGGAAAAAGAGATTCTACATGGATGCTAGATGGTTTGGAAAGAAGGGTTTCAAAGAGGTAATAGCTGAGGCATGGGCAAAGAAGGTCAATGGAGCTGATCTGTATAAGATCCAAAACAAAATCAGAAAAATCAGGATGGCATTATTAGGCTGGAAGTCCAAACTTGTGATAAACTCAGTTGTCCTCATTGAAACCTACAATTCAAGATTATCTATTCTCAGAGAGTTATGAGGAGAAAGAGATTGGAAGGAGTGGGCTGATTTGCATAAAAAAGGTTCATCAGGCTTATCAAGAGGAAGAAATGTACTGGAAACAGAAAGCAAGAAATCAGTGGGTAAAGTTGGGAGATAAAAATACCAGGTAGTTTCATGCCTGTGTTAATCAAAAAATAAAAAGGAATTGTATAGAGAGGTTGGTGAGAAGGAATGGTACTATGTGTCTGAATGAAGAGGACACAGTGGCAGAAATAGAAGATTTCTTCAGGAACTTGTTCACCACTTCTAATCCAAGAGTGGAACAATGCAGCCTAGAAGGAATGCAGAAAGTTGTGACTGGGGATTTGAACCAAGCCCTGATTTCACAAGTACACGAGGAGGAAATCAAAAGAGCCTTGATGGAGATGAATCCACACAAAGCACCAGGGATAGATGGTATGACCCTCCTTATTTTTCAATCTTGTTGGTCTATTATGAAATCTGATTTATGTACATCCATTGAAGTTTTTTTTCAAAATTGTTCACTCCCTAAAAAAACAAATCATACAGTGATTACCCTTATACCCAAAACTCAGAACCCTTCCATAATCACAGACTACAGACCAATTAGCTTATGTACAGTCACCTACAAAATCATATCAAAGATTTTAGCCAATAGACTAAAAAATGTCCTTAACCTTTGCATCTCCCCAAACCAATCAGCCTTCATCCCAGATAGACAGATTTTAGATAATGTTGTCCTTGCTAATGAGGTGATTCACTTTTTGAACAGTAAAAAAAAGGGGAAAGAGGCTTTTATGGCTCTAAAAATTGATATGGCTAAAGCCTATGATCGAGTGGAGTGGAATTCCTTGCTAAAATTCTCCTTGCAATGGGATTCCATAAAACCTTTATTGCCTAGATTGTTTCATGCTTGAATTCCTCATATTTTTCATTTAATATTAATGGTCAACCTACAGGTTTTGTTAAGCCTTCAAGGGGCCTTAGGCAGGGTGACCCTCTGTCACCCTACCTATTCATTATTTTGTCTGAAGCCCTTTCTAATCTTATTCATCAAGTTATGGCTAATAATTCTTTCCAAGGTATAAAAATAGGTAAATTCTCTCCTGTTCTAACTCATCTCTTTTTTGTAGACGACTCTATCTTCTTTTGTAAAGCTTCTGTTCCTAATGCTATAGCCCTTTCTTCTATGTTGCATAATTTTGGTCAAGCTTCTGAACAACTTATTAATACCAGTAAATCCTCTATTTTGTTTTCTAAGAATGCACAGGATGAGATCAAAGGAGAGATCTGTAGAATTCTTGAAGGGATTGTGGTTGCAAATCTTCAAGCTATTTGGGTCTTCCCTTAGGTATAGGTAGGTCAAAATTAGAAACTTTCAAGTTTGTTTCAGAAAAAGTCATTGCTAGAGTCACCAATTGGAAAAACCATTTTTTGAGTGAGGCAGGGAGGGATATTTTAATTAAAACTGACTGTTCTTAATGCCTTGCCATATTATGTCATGTCTTTTTTCAAAATTCCATTGGGAGTGGTTCAAGAAATTTGTAGGATTATTGCAGATTTTTGGTGGGGGAAACAGGAAGATGGGAAAAAGAAAATCCATTGACGGAGTTGGGATAAGCTCACTAAACCTAACGAGTGTGGAGGATTGGGATCCAAAAACCTGGTTTTATTTAATGAGGCTCTCCTAATGAACCAATTGTGGAGAATTATTACTAAATCGAACCTCTTGCTTAGTAAGGTTCTTAAAGGGAAGTACTTCCATAACCAAAATCTGATGGAGGTTATACGTAAAAGCTCATATTCATGGTTGTGGAAGTCTTGGATGAGTGTGAGGCACTGTTTACAGCTTAGGCTGTGGTATAGAGTGGGAGAGGGGTGTAGCTTGTCTGTTTGGAAGTCCCCCTGGCTTCCTAAAAACCTTACATTTAAACCTTTGTGCTTTTTTGAGAGAGATAAAAGGGTCATTAGAATAGTGAGTGACTTTCAAATAGAGGAAGAAGGGGAATGGGATAAGGACCTCATTGAACAAACATTCCACCTTAATGATGCTAGGCAAATCCTTCAGTTGTCTAAGCCTCAGAAAGGGCAGAAAGATAGAGCAATGTGGCAGCCTAATCCTAAAGGGGAGTTTACAATTAAATCTGCTTACAAATTGTTAGCAGAAAAGATGGTGAATGATACTGGGAGACCTGGCTCTAAGAGTGGTCATAAGTTGCTGAGGAAAATCTGGAAGAAACATGGGGTTTGAATGTGAAAAATAAAATTAAAATGTTTATCTGGAGATGTTGCCATAGGTTCTTGGCAACCAAATATCAGCTCAAAAAGAGAGGTGTCCAAAGAGACAGTATATGCAGCTTATGTGGTGAGGTGGAAGAAGATATGGAGCATATATTATTTAAATGCAGAAGAGCTCAAGGAGTATGGAAGATGGCTGGATTTGCATTGGGAGGGTTTAAAAAGACTGAAATATTCATTTGATTTGTGGTGTGGAGAGATCTACTTGATCAAACA